TGTGAAGCTTATTGGGCAGTAAAGTCTCGTTGGGTCCCTGTAGTGCTGGGGACGGTCCCCCTGGCGTTAGGGACCTGGGGAGCGTGGGGGGGGGGGGGGGGGGGGGGTAGGAGGACCCTGGGGAAGGGGGGGTGGTTGTAGGGAGGTCCCTGGCATTAGGGACCTGGAGGGCAGACCCTTTGCCCAGGGTTATAACTTTTGAATTGTGTTTCTTTCATACGCTATAAATATGGCACTAATTGGAAAAGGGGTGCAAATTAAATTGTCGATTTCACAAACACAAGGTCCAGGGTTCGATTCCTGAGGCACGAACCAGGACCCCGCTGCGTGACACAGCTCTCGCGGCACGAGCCGTGAAACTTCTCCCGGCCGGACACTAATTAGATCTGGCTGGTAACCGAACACAGGCGTTCCTTTATAAACACCTAGAGTCCGCATAACTGAAGAACCGAGAACGCTCAGGGAACGTGAAGTTCAGATTGGATTTCCAAGATCCCGCGCTCGTAAATTGGGGGAGGGGGGGTGGTGAGTGGGGGTGAGGTGCAGGCATGCATTGTTATCGTTTTGTTGATAATGGGTTGCCTGTGTGTGTGTGTGTGTGTGTGTGTGTGTGTGTGTGTGTGTGTGTGTATGTAAATTAAACCAAATCTACCCACCCAAACACAGATTTCAATCCATTAACAAACAAATGTTGCAAGACTGCACACTTCTGCCCCCCCCCCCCCCCTTCTCAGCATCTTCAAGGACCTCTGTACTCGACGAGAAATCTTCCGAGGGGTCTTAATATATTCCTGGTGATTTTTCTCAGACAAGAGTTAATGTGTGGCATTTCCCGGATCGATGCTCCTCCCTCGGCTGAACAGGAAGAGGTATCCAGATATCTTACCATCGGGTACCATAACAGCATCCTGAAAGATCTGTATCTCGAGGGAAAAATTAAGAAGTCTAAGACATACCGAAGTAGTGTGCAAGGAAGTTGTTTGATCAGCTGAGCAGATCTCCCTGGCACCCTAAGAGTCGATAGTTAGGGGTCAGGGAGGGACAGACATAAGGGCAGAAGGTCAAGCACCTGGAGCCAGTCAGGGAGTCTCAAGGTGGCCTATGTTAGCTCAAGATCAATAGCGATTACTCCAGAACCTCTCGGCTCATAAAGTTAAATAATTGCTCAATAATGAACTAACGAGCGTTCAAGAAGGTGTAGCGAGGGGCCGGCCATCCTGGAGTTATTCGCCAGGCGATAATTCGTGAACGACCCGACAGTGCTCTTCCTCCCTGCGTCTTGTCCTCCCACACGCTTGACTCAAGTCTTTGCTGGCAGACTTGATACACACACAGACAGACAGAGACACACAGACAGACAGAGACACACAGACAGACAGAGACACACAGACAGACAGAGACACAGCAGACAGACACAAGAACTTTTATAGTGTTAGAGTAGTTAACAAATGGAATGCATTAGTCAGCCTCCACCACAGTGATGTGGTGGAGGCTGACTCCATACACAGCTTCAAGTATAGATATGACAGAGCCCAGTAGGCTCAGGAACCTGTACACCAGTTGATTGACAGTTGAGAGGCAGGACCAAAGAGCCAGAGCTCAACCCCCGCAAGAACAACTAGGTGAGTACACACATTATTGCAGGCGATGAGTCACAACGTGGCTGAAGTATGTTGACCAAACCACACACTAGAAAGTGAAGGGACGACGACGTTTCGGTCCGTCCTGGACCATTCTCAAGTCGATTGTGATCGACTTGAGAATGTCTTATGAATACGAATGAATTAATAAAGAATGAATACGATTTCATTTTCTAGGGTGTGGATTGGTCAACACACATTATTATTATTATATTATACATTGGGAACACCCGGTGCGCAGGTTCGAACCCTTATCACCGCTCCGGTGGATTTGTTCATTGATATATTACGTTAATGTGTTTTCTCTATGTATTATTATTATACATTCATGCACATACACTGTGTGTGTGTGTGTGTGTGTGTGTGTGTGTGTGTGTGTGTGTGTGTGTGTGTGTGTGTGTGTGTGTTTACTATTATATCTGCAGAATCGAGCTCTTGGCTCTATTTATTTTCCTCTATTATGTCTACTACACATATTTCTTTCTAACAAACACATTCCCAGGAAGCAGCCCGTGACAGCTGTCTAACTCCCAGGTACCTATTTACTGCTAGGTGAACAGGTGCATCAAGGCGACAGAAACTCTACTTCGAAACGAAACAAAGAAATTGTGAGCATGATCGCAGAGCGTGTTAACATGGGAGAGCAGCTGTGGGAGAGGAGAGAGTAGTGGAGTGCTCACTGGCCACCAGCGCTACTCTCACTGATGGGGTAGTGAGAGAGCCTCAGTTCAAGGAGTTCTCCTTTGAACCTTCTTCTCTCAGGAGAAGGAGTTCTCCTATGAACTCCTTCTCCTGTGAGTGATGGGACCTTAAACTCCAAGCTCGTGAGTGATGGGTGATGGATGCTTGAACTCTCAGGCTACTGGAAGGTCGTCTCGACAGATTAACCACACATATGGTATCGCAGACGATAAGCGATTACTCAATATACACCCACACACATTCTGACAATTATAAAACTGTCATATGTCTGTAATTCTGGTTTAATAAGCTGCAGTCGCCATTTTTTCCTGACCGTGCAAGATAAATCAAATTCAAGCCTTGATTTACACACAGTAATAAGTCTGTGTCTCAGCCAGTTCGGTGAATGGTTTGATCTCTTGCACCCTTAACGATTGGCCAAGACTCGGGCACCTGCCCCTAAAGTTATATTCGTCTTTGTTGAATCTTTGGTCTTTGGGTTTTACCAAATTATAACCAGGAACTTCTTGAAATTTTTGTAAGAGATTTCGTAGACACATTCAACGCATTTCCCACAACATTTTTTTCATGTAAGATTTTTGGACGATGCAAGTTTGAGAAGAAGCCCAAACCCCCTGTGTGTTTACCTGATCAACCAGGCTGTATTTCGTACGTCAGATTGCGTGCTGAGGCACACAACAGCCTGTGTGATCAGACCATCAATCAAGACGCCTGGTCAAGACACCGGACCACGGGAATATTGATCCTCGGAGCCACCACACGGTAACAACCAAGTAATTTACATAAATTTCTGTTACACTCAATTCTTAATTATAATTTGTTTACAGTATTTAAAAAAAAAAATTATCGAGAAAAAAATTGTCTTTGGAGCTTTGTAAATTATTCCTCGCAACACCTGAAAGTTACACATGTTGGTTGAAACACATGTTGATACGACTCATGTTACCTCATGTGCAGTGAAGTTGCATCTTGGGTCACGGAGATTGCAAGAGAAAATGGCTTCCAGGATTCAGTGATCTCAGCTTATATACACCAGGACAGTTTATCAGTTCTGCTTTAGATAATTAATGTTTAACTGCCTTCCCTTTACTGTTTTATGCTGCTGCTGCTGCTGCTGCTGCTGCTGTTGCTGCTGCTGCTGCTGCTGCTGCTGCTGCTGCTGCTGCTGTTGCTGCTGCTGTTGCTGCTGCTGCTGCTGCTCATCCTCACTGTTCTCTTCCCCTTCAACTCCTTCACCCTTCTGCTCTAACACCCCCCGCCCCCTCCCCCCTTGTGTCACCCTACTGTTTCACTTCCTCCCTGAGTCACCATCTGTTTCACCCTTCTGCCTCACCCTACTGCTTCACTCCCCCTCCCCCTTTTGCGTCAACCCCTGCGTCACCCTACTGCGCTGGGTTTTATAATTTGTTTTTTCCTTCGTCTGTTCCTCGTACACTGAGGACAACAACATTTACATTTTTTTTGTCCCTAATTTATTTAATTATTTATGATCTATTATTTCCTCTCCTCCACTTCCGTCTCTCCCTCCTTTCTCTTCCCTTCTCATTATTGCTTCTCTATTATTTACAGGACTATTATTAGTGTCATTATTGCTGCTTTTGATCTAATTATTATTCGCATATTATTAGTTTTAATTTGTCTATTGTTACTGGTAGTGCTTCGACTATTTTAACTTATTACTGATAATATTATGACTATTTTGACACTTGTAATTGTTAATTATTATTAATATATTTCAGTGTAAGTGTTTTTTTCGCATTTTTCGAACAGTGTTTTATTCCTGTATGCACTTGGTTTTACGACCAGGCCAAGAAGGCCTGGCCGGGGACCGGGCCGCGGGGACGTTGAGCCACGAAATAATCACAAGGCACTCAATGGATTTATATATATATAATATATAATTGTTTATAAAGTCAACCAATCCAAAATTTGGCTTCGGGCCTCACCATTCCTGCGGCTGCCTTCCACATCTCATCTTAAAGTACCCAAGACGGATTCGTCAACGGCTGCGAAACATTTACATCTTTCAGCACTGATGGCGGCTTAGTCTGTATGAAGAGTTTACGATCTTCCGAAACGTTAACAAACCAAGGTTATTTTTGTTATAAATAACCTCGTATTGCTTCGGAGCTCATCAACTGTTTTAATAAATATCAACAAAGCCGCCATGTTTGAGGGAAGATGCACGGGTTTCGTACATAAATGCTTGGTGAATCATGACCCCCCCCCCATGGCAGGGAGATGAGATGAACTCTCAAAAGTTCAGTTCGTTCTCAGCGTTAAATTTGAAACGGTTTGACGCACCCAGAAGCGTTCGAAATTAGACAGTTAGCCAGATCTATGGATGCTAATATTTATTTAGTCCGTCAATAATAACTTACACAATGAAGTCTCAAGAACGCGAAGTATCTATATATTCCTTGACTCCCCAGACGCCCAATATAACATGCTTATTTACGATGCTTTTCTCTGATCATGCTTCTTCCAACACTAGCTTCGGGCCTCCCCCATACATAGAAGAATACATAAAATCACAGCTATTTTAGCTGTGTCACAATCACAGGAACTATTTTAGCTGTGTCACAATCACAGCTATTTTAATGTGAAACTCCTTCGGCAAACCTAAAGAAACAGCCGAGGTCGCGGCAAGCAACTTACCGGGCAAGTGACCGTTGGGGAAGCCTTGGTTCTCCATGTGGCGCTTCTTGAGATCGAAGAGAGCGTCCTGCGTTGGGGTCATCGTCATGAAGTCGGAGGCTCTCTTGGGCGGGCGACCAGGCCTGGAGCTGGAGGTGAGTACAAAACAGTACACGATAAACATACCATCAGGGTTAGTAAGGAAGGGAACCCGTGCGGTGACTACTGGAGGGATGGAGGGAGAGGGAATGAGGGAGACGGAATGAGGGAGAAGGAATGAGGGAGAGGGAATGAGGGAGAAGGAATGAGGGAGAGGGAATGAGGGAGAGGGAATGAGGGAGAGGGAATGAGGGAGAGGGAATGAGGGAGAGGGAATGAGGGAGAGGGAATGAGGGAGAGGGAATGAGGGAGAAGGAATGAGGGAGAAGGAATGAGGGAGAGGGAATGAGGGAGAGGGAATGAGGGAGAAGGAATGAGGGAGAGGGAATGAGGGAGAGGGAATGAGGGAGAGGGAATGAGGGAGAGGGAATGAGGGAGAGGGAATGAGGGAGAAGGAATGAGGGAGAGGGAATGAGGGAGAGGGAATGAGGGAGAAGGAATGAGGGAGAGGGAATGAGGGAGAGGGAATGAGGGAGAGGGAATGAGGGAGAGGGAATGAGGAAGAAGGAATGAGGGAGAGGGAATGAGGGAGAGGGAATGAGGGAGACGGAATGAAGGGTAGGGAAAGTGGAAAGATGAAAAAAACCAAACGTTTCCGTCTGCTGATTGAAGGAATATAAGGACTACTGTGACAGCTCTACAGAGGAAGACCTGACAGGTTGGCCGCGAAGAACATTGGCTAGGCGTGTTATTTGACAACAATTGCCTGCAAGCAAAGTTCTTTGTAACCAACCGGGTTAGTACAGCTAAGTTTCATGAACCAGGCTACAGGGATCAAGTGAAGATCAAGGAAGGAAAAGCATAAAATATTAACATGAGCTTCAAACAGCCCCAGAATTTAACATTTTTAAGTTAAACTTATCATTAAATACACACACTATATTATATATATATATATATATATATATATATATATATATATATATATATATATATATATATATATATATATACACACGACCTATCCTCCTCTTTAGATAGTACTTTTGACGTAATAGACTATTGGAATTTGGTAATGTTCACTTTATAATCCAGAAAAAAATTCAGCTAAAACCAAACTTAAATATTCCTAGGTGCTAATACAGCACATATGTATCATTAGGTGTATGTATATATATTAGGCCTAGATTGTTTAGGTTAAGTTTTATTAGCAACATTAAATACAACACCGCTTCCAGTTTCTCTATTCAATAGTACCAAATTCTGTAATTGTCCCTCACGTCAATGGTCCACACTGTACACACAAATACTATCTTAACAGGAGTATGGGCTGATTATATATATTATATATATATATATATATATATATATATATATATATATATATATATATATATATATATATATATATATATATATATATATATATATATATATATAATTTTCCTAGGGTTTGACTACTCCTGAAGGCAACAGCAGTAAACATGAGACGGGAACCAGGCCCTGACAGGGGTTCGAACGACGACAAGCCCCCCGTGAATAAGTAAGGAACAGGAACACACAAGCGGGTAAGGCAGGTTCCCCCTCCTACAATGACAAATAACCCCCCCCCCCCCTGGTGGATCCTCATACTTCCCGCTCAGCGTTTTCAATCTTGGAACAATTCATCAGTAATCAATGGCGGGATGGGAGTACGTCTTGGGTGGACAAAATGTAATATATTGAGGCGGATTATTCTGACGCAAGCCACGCCCTCTTGCATGCTAGCCTCGCCTCCTGCCTCTTCCTGGGCTGCTTCTTCCTCCTCTCCTTAGTCTACCTCCTCCTCCCCTACTCCCTGCAATGGGAGTTCCAGACTGTTGTGGGCTGCATCTGGTCTCAGGCCTAGTGCGGTGACCAGATCACTGGCAGTTTGAAATTTGGAGCCTCGGATTAGATTCGTTATTTCGAAGCTGTTTTGCGGACGCAATGCTGACTATCCATGAAGAAAAAAGAAAATTGCAGTGCATTGTAATGCAATGCAAAGAGTTGTATTGAATGCTCAGTACTGAGGTGGTTCACAGGCGACTTAAAACGGGCAATAAATCCACAAAGTTAATACTATTTAACGCAATCATTTACCCCTCGAAATGCTCATTTACTGAGCTTCCAGCCACCACGAACTGCACCAAGGCTGTATGCCAGTCCATCTCACACGCTACCAATTCTGTGGTTATGACACAGCTTGCAAGAGCCGTCCCCGTCAACTGTGCATGTTGGTAAACAGTGCGCTTTTGTAGCCGGCAACACTCCCTTGTTAGTCATTCATAAAATCGATGTCTCCCACCTCCTCCCTCCCCCACTAACGCGACAACCTGTTAGAGACGCGTATCGTAATTTATGGCTCTTTTTACAATGTCTCAACACGCGAAGCATCGTGCAATTAAGATCGTGTGCCTGAGGGCTTGACGAGATGCCTACGAAAAGTGGCCCCCCAAGACACACTTTAAGAACTAGAGCGATTGCAACTCCCACGTGTCAGAAAAAAGACGATTTTAACCTCGATAAAGTTAAGAAATGTATACGTAAACAATATTCTCCATCAGCCGAGACTCGAGTAGTCTCGCCAAGTGGTTTGCGGGCTCGATCATCCTGGCCATGTAGCCTAGGACCTCCGGGAAAGAGCGGCATAGCCTTGATATTTTGATAGGTGAAGGACAGGTGGTATTGGGGGGGTGGAGGGGGAGGGTTAATGGCTCCTTGTTACTCTGTGGGTGGTTGAAATGGTTGTTGGGGGATAGTGGATGTTGTGTTGGTTGTAGCAGGTGTGGTGGTGGTGGTTGTAGCAGGTGTGGTGGTGGTGGTTGTAGCAGGTGTGGTGGTGGTGGTTGTAGCAGGTGTGGTGGTGGTTGTGGTAGACAGATGTGGAATTTGTAGGGTTCATGGTGGTAATTTATGTGAATGTTTGTTTTATGTGAATGTAATTATGTAATTTATGTGAATGTAACAGTTTGAATGTGATGAAGGTAACGATGATACACGCACACCAACTACCACCTGTTCTAGAGTTGGTGGTAGTTGTGATGTTGGTATTGTTGTTGTTAAAGATTCGCTACCTGGAATGTAAAATTCCAAGTAGCACGGGCTATGGTGAGCCCGTAGGCCTTAGCCTAACGCTTGTAGAGTGTGGTTGCTGTGTGAATGGGGTGTGATAAAAAAATATTCATTGTTGAGTTCGGTCGTGAAAACACTGTAGTTGGGTTACCCAAATTAGGTAAATAACGACATCAAAGTGAACTTTAATATATATTAAAATGCCAAAAATTCTTCAGCTTATCACAGATCCTTTGGCAAGGCACCGCAGCAGTAGGTGAAGAAACACAAGACGAACCCCCCAAGAACACATTAGAAACACCAGACAAACCCCCCAAGAACACATTAGAAACACCAGACGAACCCCCAAGAACACATTAGAAACACAAGACAAACCCCCCAAGAACACATTAGAAACACCAGACGAACCCCCCAAGAACACATTAGAAACACCAGACGAACCCCCCAAGAACACATTAGAAACACCAGACAAACCCCCCAAGAACACATTAGAAACACCAGACGAACCCCCCAAGAACACATTAGAAACACCAAATAACACTTAGTGTTTTGATTTGTTATCTACAGAAAATAGTGTTATTACTCACAGGAGCACAACACACTCCTGTGAGTAGACGAGGAGTCACAATAACGTGGCTGAAGTATGTTGACCAGACCACATACACACACTAGAAGGTGAAGGGACGACGACGTTTCGGTCCGTCCTGGACCATTCTCAAGTCGATTGAGAATGGTCCAGGACGGACCGAAACGTCGTCGTCCCTTCATCTTCTAGTGTGTGGTCTGGTCAACTTCTGTGAGTAGTGTTCTACTAAGGGGGGTAGAAATAGCCTAAGCTACTCTATCCCTTTGAGATGTATTTTTTTCCCTTGTTTCAATAAACTTGAACTTGAACTTACAGGAGTTAGATTGGACGAACCACTTGTTAATCTGATCGTTGGGACAACAGTCAACAAGGCTTCAGTATGCGAGAATAACCGCTACTAACAACCCCTTTAGAGCACAATAACAGCCCTTCCCTGAACAGCCAGTTCCCGGTACAATAACCAGGCCTGGCTGGGAGGTAGCTTGGTTCTAAGACAACTTGACAGCCGTAGCTAAAGGTTCTTGAGCAGGTTTGACAGCCTGCCCACCAGCAGCCTGCTAGCCTGCCTTGTCTGCCAGCTGGAAATACACTGCATCACTAATCTCACCCTGACCTACCCTGAGTACCTCATTCACACACACGCACGCACACGTGCACACGCACGCACGGCCCAGCATGGAGCCCGTACCTTGTCAAGCACAAGACAAAGCTGGAAAACGTTCAGAGGTATGCCACAGGCTAGTCCCAGAACTAAGAGGCGTGAACAAACCCACAACGGCCGTGATGTGGGTTCGAACCTACGTCCGGGATGATCCCAGATGCGCTTTAGTCGACTGCGCCACGACATGGTAAAATAATTGCAACCTGGAGTGCTACTTGGCCCTCACGAGGCAAGTAGCGCGGGTATGATCCCGGGCGCGTCTGGGATCATCCCAGACGTAGGTTCGAATCCTCATCACGGCCCTTGTGGATTTGTTCATTTAATATATCGCGCTATTGTGATTGTTGTGTGTAAGAGACATGAGTTACGAGGGAAGGCTGCGTGAACTGCACTTCACGTCGCTGGAAAACAGGAGAGCTCGGGGAGACATGATCACCACGTACAAAATTCGAAGGGGAATTGACAGGGTAGATCTGGATGGATTATTTAACACGGGTGATACACGCACAAGGGGACACAGGTGGAAGCTGAGTACCCAAATGAGCTACAGAGACATTAGAAAGAATTTGTTCAGTGTCAGAGTAGTTAGTAATTGAAATGCACTAGGAAGTGATGTGGTGGAGGCTGACTCCATACACAGTTTCAGATGTAGATATGATAGAGCCCAGTAGGCTCAGGAACCTGTACACCAGTTGATTGACAGT